AAAAAAAAAAAAAAAAAAAAAAAAAAAAAAAAAAAAAAAAAAAAAAAAAAAAAAAAAAAAAAGTAAATGATTGTGGGCTAATTTGGAAACCAAAATTTTGAACATTTAACATTTTGGTCGTAAAAACGCCTAAATTTGTAATTTAATATAAATTTTATTAGGGTATGTGAATGATATTGATTTACATGGATGAAGTTAGAAAAAGTAAATAGAAAAGGTAATTGTTTACCTGCTTAGATCTATGGAGGTTGAGATAAAACTAGCAGATGAAGTCTGCGAAGACGGTGGAATGAATTGAGTGAATCCGGAGCTAGATTGGAAGGTAAGTCGAGAATAATTTGGAGGATGAACAGAAAGAATTTGGTCATCTCCATTAAGATATCTCGTGACTTGCCTCATGCTTGGCCTTGCTTCAGGGTTGTAGTGGGAACAAAGAAGCCCAAGTTGCAGCACCATCTCCATCTCATTCATGTCATAAACTGCACTCAATTTTGGATCGGCTGCGTCCAGAATACGGCCTCTTTCATGGCATTCCATTACCCAATCTACCAATATGAATATATCTGATTCTAGAGGTCTTCTTCCACAAGCCACTTCAAGGATTAGAACTCCATACGCGAACACATCCGTGGTTTTAGATGCTTTTCCGGTGCGAGCCAACTCGGGTGAGATGTAGCCAATGGTGCCAACGACACTGGTTGTATGCGATACTTGGTCGTGGTCGTATAACCTTGCGAGACCGAAATCACTTAATCGAGCATTCATGTCGATATCTATCAAGACATTACTCGGCTTAACATCTCGATGGATCACTACTTGCTCCCATTCTTCGTGTAGGTACAGCAATCCACCAGCAACGCCTTTGAGGATGTTGATTCTTTGTTCCCAATTCAGCACAAAGTTGTGTTTTGGATGGTAGAGGAGAGAATCCAAGCTTCCATTTCGAACATAGTCATAAACCAAGAGAAGATCATTCTTTTTCTTGCACCATCCTTGGAGATTCACCAAGTTCTTGTGTCGTAATCGGCCCAAACTTTCGATCTCGGCAGCGAATTCCCTCATTCCCTGAGTCGAATTTCGTGTTATCTTCTTCACAGCAATTTCACTTGCAGTGGAAGGCAAGACACCTCTGTATACTGAGCCAAAGCCACCTGATCCAACGAGCTCAGAGTCTTTAAATCCCTTTGTGGCTTTATAAAGATCGTTATAGCCAAATCTGTGAGGACAATCTCTTTCCCATTCCTCAAGGCTGTCATCTCGTACTCTTCTTCTGAATAAAGAGGCTAAGAACAAAATTCCTATAAATGTCGTGGCAGATAATATTGGTACAACAACGGTGAGTAGAGGATTGAATTTTGAGGGCGGAGAAATGTCCAATTTCGGTGGTTTTGGTAGCTGAGAAACATTTAACGCAGGTGCTTGTCCATTGATAGCAAAACTCCAACCTGAAATGTAGTGGAAGCTTGTTTCTATTCCGGTTGATGCAGAGAACCCAACAAACATTGTCTCTTTCAAAACTGAATTCAGGTTTATGCGATATGAAATCAATGGCTCAGTTGGTTTGTCCACATTTGTAGGAGCTATCGTGACATTCACAACCTTACTATGGCGACTATAGTCAATCCAAGCTTGGATTGGATCACCACTATCCAAATACACCTCCGTTTTCACATCAGAGCCATAGTCAGAATACTCAGCCGTTTCAGACGCATTTGATCGCATGCCATTCTTGTTGATTCCGACATGGTTTCCCTTCGAATTTTGAGGGTCGTCGTGGCCATTAAGAGTATCGAATTCGACTGCAAAGATATGATTGGAAGCGTCGCCGTTGTTGGAGGAGTTGAATAATCCCAAATAATGTTCACTTGCAGCACCTGGAAATGTGGTCGATGGAGCTATAACAAAGGCGAGGCCATACCCAACTGGCGAACTGGAGCTTGATGGAACTATGGCAAACACAAAAGTTGTGCTGAAAGAAGAAACGTCTAAAACTGGTTCAGAACTTTTATCAAACATCTGGTGGGCATTAGGATTGAAAGCCTGGCCTATAACGAACTGGGTGCTGTCGGTTAGCCTCAACAAGCCAGAAGCCTCTACAGAAGCTCCTTGACGAAGGATAAGATCTGAATTATTGAATCCATGGTAGACAAACGAAGGTTGAGCAGAGAGAGCAGAAACATAGAAAACAAATATGAGAAAGCAAGCTAACGAAACTCCCATAGCCATTGTTAAGAAAGAAAAGAAAGAAATCAGAGGTTAAAAAGAAAGCAATAATCTTCCATGGACGTAGCTATGAAAGAAACTCTGATAAATAGTGAGATGAGGATGTGAAAATGGCAATTGGGAGGAAGATGTAAGAGTCATGGGACCATCGGCATTGCTAAAGTTTCCATAGTCAAAGAACATATTTTTTCAATTAGTTTGAATTTTGCGACGTTAATTAAATACTGAAAATGACACAGAAAATTGCCATGGAATGTGGGAGATCAGTTGAAATGAAACCGCGGGAATTAGGAGTTTCTCCAATAAGAAAATTCAAGAGAATTTGAACTCACACACAAATTGCTCTCCATAGATGTGGTGGAGAAGAGAGTTTTGAAGCTTCCGAGCTTCGATGCTCCAGCCACCATTGGTGACAACCCGCAAGTCTTCCTTTTTTTGTTTTTGTTTAGTATTATAATATTCAGTTTTTGACTTTTATTTTATGCTAACGACAAATAAATTTCTACGCTTTAAAAAGTTTTTTTTTTATTTGATATTAAATTAAAAAAATTTCCATAAATTCTGATCATGCTTTTAATACTTTGTTTATTTTTTCTTTTTTAGTTTGAAAAAACAACGTTAGATAAAGACATAAAAAAAAAAAGGGAAATATTCAACAACAAACTATAACCGCCTCGAAGAAAAAATAACCCACAATTCATTTAATAACACTACTAAAGTAAAATTGAAGAATTCTACTGAATGTATGTATCAAATAATGTCATTGAAATCATAGGATAGAGTAATTGTGATGTAACATAAAAGAAAGTTATAAATCATCGGCCATTTTCACCTTATTCAATGCTTATATTATATCCATTGGGCCAATTTATGTATGGGCCAAGATTCCATTTTATCATTTCAGCCCAATTTCAGTGTTGTCTATCCACTCGCTTCCAATCACTCTCCATGACTCCTCCGCGAATCCCTCCATCTTCAGGCAGGTCCCAAACCCTACTTTAATCGCCTGAAGTCTCAACATTTTACCAACTGATTCACCTTCTTTAAGCCAGAGTTGTGTCTCGGCTATGGCGTCAATCAACTTCAACCCCTTCGAGAATTGGTTCTCCAGGCCTCCTAATCCCATTTCTCCCCTCAATCTCATTGCATTTAGAGACTCGTTGTCTCAAAAATCCTCGACGTCCCCGAACTTTGCTTCAATTAGCCTCTCTAATGTCTTCAAGAAGCAGAAAAAACCAGAGGAAGCACCCGAAAAACCAGGGTATTACCGCGAAATGCTAGATCAATTCTACTGGGAATGCGAAAATTTACCCGATTACAGACACACCCCTGAGGTTGAGAAAATCTTGAGCGAAGATCCTGTTTTTGAGAAGAAAGAGAATCCTACTGAAGAGGAGCTGGAAAAAAACGAGAAGCTCTGGAAAGCGATACGAGATAGCCCTGTCGTGCAATTTCTGGAACGTGCGGAGAAAATTGCAGCCAAATACAATGAACTTGAGCTCAAAGAGAATGAGAATCCATACAGACGTGAGGACAGGAAGCTATGGAGGGCAATTCCTCATGTAACTGGGCTTGATGGGCGGCCTATGCCGAGGAAAGCAATAAAAACGAGAAAAGAATCCGATGATAAGTTTTGGGATTTTGCGAGACAGTTCTTTTTGGGGCTTTGGGGCTACCGGCAAAGACCTTATCCACCTGGTCGCCCGATCGATGTTGCTCAGGCCATTGGATACAAGCGCCTCGAGGAGCGGTACTATGATTGTAAGTCTAAATTGGTGTTGTTCCCTGAAGAATGCGCGCGGATTTCCCATTTTTGTCATTGCCTTGAGCTAGCCGTGGAAGCCACATTGGCATGGGCTATCGGAGTTCCATCATGAAACGGGCTCATATTAGACCTGTTATGTTCTTCTGCCCAAGTTTCTTAGATAGGCACTTTGTTTTATCTTGGATTTACTTTTACATTGTTTGATAAACCTGTATATATAGTCTACATTTCAGTCATGTTTGATCAGTTTCATGAAGTTGCTTAGTGATTCGAAAGTGCTTTCCTAGTCTTGTATTGTATTCATAGCTTATAGCATGATTGTGTTGACTCTGCAGTTATAATGAAGAGTGGAGGTTGGTACTATAAGGATCGGTTAGGTCGTACTCGAGGGCCATTGGAACTAATCACTCTCAAAACAGCTTGGGGAGGTGGGATTATTGACAAGGACACATTTATCTGGGGGGAGGACATGGACGAATGGGCGCCAATTCACATGGTTTACGGAATGGAGCGTGCAATTGCCACTTGGGAAGGTCAGTTAAAACTTCTACGGTTATCTTTTCATTTCTCCTTGTAAGTATGAAGTTGAAGGTATCAAGAAATTTACCCTGAATTTGTAACATCAATAGTTGTATGCTTAACTTGAGCATTACTTATTGTTAGTCTTTAAGTAGATCACCACATTACAGTTCAAGATGGAGCGTTCTTTTTAGTTCAATGAAGACATCATGATCGAATTAGCGCATGCTTCCTTTCGTTCAAGTGTTTATTATAGATACATCACGACGATCAAATTAAAAACATGACATGTCATGAGCAAATATTTTCAGTGCATATAGATGCTGTTTTTGGAATGCACCCCAGCTTCTAGTCGGTTGCTTCCTGCCTGATGTAGGAGTTTTTTACTAGCTGGGTTTACGGTAGAGAACACTTATTCACAATTACTTTATGTAGCTTTTCCTATCTTTACAAGATCTTGGAAAACTAGCTAAGCTTGACGCGATATAGAGAACCGTAAATCCCGTCAATATCACTCAAATCACTGCTTACTTTATTTGTGGCTAGCTGCCATCTTTAACTCGGTTCCTACTTTTATGCTCTAATCGTATTTGTTACATCTCATTTCGTGTTTGTTATATCTATTTATTGTTCTCGCCATCCCCTGTTTGACGTCGGCCCCATCTAGTTGATTTATAAACAGATGTCATATTTACAAAGAGGTTTACTGGCTCATGGTTGTTTTTCCAGTTAGACTCGGCGCTGCTGCCACTGCTTTTATTCATAAATTGCAGAAAGGCATCCCTCCATGGGTTCCTCTTAAGGGACAAGAGAAGAAAACCTACAAGCAACTGCAACAAGAGGCTTTAGAGAGCAAGAGACGAGATCTAGCAGTATTAGCAGCTAATGACGGTGTTTGGCCAGGAGTTAGAACTCCTAGCCATGCGCTTTTTCTCTGGGCAAGTGGAACTGAGCTGACAACTTTGTTGGAGGCAGACCACATGCCAAACAAGTACATCCCTAGGGATCTAAGGTATGTCCACCCCACATTCGATTCACTATATCTCTATTTATATGAATTACAACCATTTTAGTTTTATTAGTTATAATAAATGTCACAGCCCAAGCCCACCACTAACAGATATTGTGCTCTTTGAGCATTAGCTCTCATGGCTTTACTTTTGATATCTCCAAAAGGCCTCATACCAATGAAGAGGGTATTCCTTGCTTATAAACCCATGATCATCTCCTTAATTAACCAAGGTGGCACTCCTCTCCCAACTATTCTCAACAGTTTAATTAACCAAGGTGGCACTCCTCTCCCAACTATTCTCAACAGTTTAATTAACCAATGTGGCACTCCTCTCCCAACTATTCTCAACAGTAAATCCATGGTGATAACTTTGTTTCCCTTCAATTGTTCATTCCGTAGCTGAGGATGAAATGTCCTTCTTAACGTTGGCCAATGCAGTAACTTTTTTGGATACATAATTCAACTTTAAATATCCATTCTCCACTAGATTCTTATACTCGCGTCGCGGTTGTTATCTGTGGTATGGCAGGTACAAGTTAGCTAAAATTCTACCCGGGTTAAGACCATGGGAGGTTCTAAGCGTGGAGCAAGCAATGGATCACATAACATATAGTGGGAAATGGCATCGTGAACGTCTTGGGTCGTACACGACTGGGCCTCCATACATCAGCCATTGGAATGATGATGTGAAGGTACACTACTTACTTACGACGGCTTCATTCTTATAAGTTTGGTGGAGATATGTGAGTCAGGATAACGAAACCTCTGTCCCTTTGTTGCAGAGACTGCTTAGGTTATTCTCCAACCTCAGCGCTAGAGTTTACAGTAGGTTGGAGCGGAAGATTCCTGGCTTCGATAAAGTAGTCGAGAAGGCCCAGGCTGATGCTGCTGCCAGAAGAGCTGCGCGGCTGGAGAAGAGGAAGGCATTGAAGAGGTCCAAATACGAGCGGCGGCCGGTCAAAGTCAGAAACGATCAATAGCTTACTATTTATTCTCTTAAAGTTCAGCTACGGTTTGAGAGTAAATGATTTTTATTATTTTGAAATTAATTAGTCTTAGTCATCACTAAAACTCCATTATTCCAATTATTTACATTTACTTCGTTGCTCGATTGTAAAATTAATCGTTATATGCGTTTCTGGGTGAAAGATGTCATGAGGCCGACATGGGCCCAAGTAGGCTTTAGGCCCATAACGCCCAACCGAGCTGGGCCCAACAAAATGTGGTTCATATTAAAAGAAAATAAAAAATAAAAAAATAAAAATTAGGCAGAGATCAAATCTAGAAGGGAAGGGCGATGGACGGATGGAGTTGTTCTTAAAGTAGGAAAGCAAATGATTGGACAAAACGACGGAGGATTGTGAGGCAGTTAATGGTATATGGTTATTTGGTGGCCTGTCACCATTTTCTTTCCCTTTTTTCTTCTTTTCACCAAAATGTTGCAACTTGAAGGCTGCACCGTAATATTCAACCATGGAAATTAAATTAAATTAAATTAAATAATTCCAAGGCTTTCGAAGGCCAAACAATCGATATTATATATATTCGAATTTCTCAAATCCAACATAGCTAATTATATAAATATTATTTCTCATTGATTAAACACTAAATTACAATGCGAAGTAGGGTTGTTTAAGAAAATTCAAAAAATATAATCGCTTTGATTTGATTTAGGTTGAAAGTTAATTTGGATTAATTAAATTTAATATATTTTTTTTAAAAAAATAATAATTAGTTGATTCGAGTCTTAAATTATCCCCATAATAAGTTTTGTTTTACTAAATTGAATTTTGAATTTAAAAAAGTTTATTGCATCAGAAAATTGTCGCCCCAGCAATCGTTCTCTGTTCGAATTCCCGATACTCTCTTTCTTTACCTTATTAGTTATTCCTCAACGTGCAGGCAACGCCCATTGAGCAAGTTGCCCATTTGCAGGATGCGATTTTACTCACATGCCCTTGCATTGCCCTCTTATTTACAATCCGCCCTTTTCATTTCTGTCCATCAACGGAATATTCATTCAACACCATCCTGTAGTATTTATGTCATTGCCCATATGAATTTTCCCACCCCCATTTAGGTAAGCTGTGGGACCACCTCCATTTAATTCGATTACGATTCGAATAAACTTGCTTTTTTTTTTTCTTTTTTTTTTTTTTTTTTA